ATCATTTGTGAGAAGAAAATGTACAAACACTGTTTATCCCACCATAATATTATTGAAGAAATAGAAAACATGAAAGGAGCAAAGGGAAACCTAAGACATATTTTAGGAGACCGAGCCATTCCCCTCTTGGTGTTAAACAGCATAATTCTATGTCTGTTCTGCCTCAGTCCCCATGAATTTCACTGCCACAGGATACACTATTGAAATATATCAAAGGTGTTGGTAGCTCTGCAGGAACAATCCATTTCTCATCTGCAAATCCAGCTCAGTAGAGAATGTCAGATTTGGCATGCAATCTTTCAATTTATTTGAAGTCTGCTTCCTCTCTGGACAACAAAAGTAACTCATCTTATTTGTTTCTTAAATGTGCCTTTTTCAGCCTATAGCATTTAAAGGAAAAAAATTTAATTTTTGGAAGCAAATACATCACATTTGCTATATTGTCTGTGCATTCTGTATAAACAATTGATATCCTCTTGTAGCCATTTAATACAAATAATTTTTTTTCATCTAAATCAATCTTGTGACCTGTTGATCCTTAGGCATACTGTAAAAAAATATGTCAATATGTATCAGGTATATGAAAAAATACAAGGAAAAAAAGAAAGAAAGAAAAAGTTAAGCTTTTTGAAAATGTACCAATAATTTATAATGCAAGAACATGAATCTTCCATTCAAATGTGGGAAAGTGCACATTTATATACACCCATTCGCTACAGCCTATTGCCTGTAATAGTTTTCATCTTGGGGTGATGCAGACTAACATTTCCATCTTTGGGTCTTGTACTTGGTATATGGTGGGGAGAAAAATTAGGATGAGTGTCAGTCCCTTTAGTGTTTTACCTTACATTGCTAACCTCAATTCTAGAAGAGAGGGTTAATGGGTGCAGGATTTCCAAAAAAAACACACACTGAAATAGGACAGGTATTCTGACATTTTAATAGTAGCAGTCACTTTAAGAGCAGTCTCTTTTTAATTGCTGACCCTTTGAGAGCAGCCTGACAGAACTATGATCCTGTAAGTGCTGTTACAGTCTTTCTTGAGAGCAGTCAAAGACACCTTGATTTATGGAAAGTTAATTCTTCTTACATTTTTCGATGTCCAACAATATCTTCTACCCAGCTCTTCTGCAAAACTCTTCAGCGAAAAAATTATTTGCAAGTCCAGATCCCTCTAGATCTCTGTATACTCCAGCACGCAGTTAAGTTCTAGGCTCAGCACAAGCCCCTGATTGAGGCTAAGCCCAATTCAAGAAACCTCTCGGCACATATCCTCTCAGAAGTCTAGGGGTGGGGTTATCTACCTCTCACCTTGTGCCTAGGGAGATGACAGCAGATCTGGATTGCATATACTTTGGGGTGCTTGGGGGTGTAGTACCACCCCCAAAGGAGCCACTTGATAACATTGGGTTCTCTGTTTTGTGTATTAACTCCAAAAACAGCCTTGGCCCCTCTAACACATTTGGTTGACTAAAAATCACTGCAAGCATGGATAAATACACAAGTGTATAATACCTTTAACCTGTCTGTGGGTTACTACCAGTTAATAGATACACACCCGTTTAGTGTATGTTTTTAGTCTATTGATACAGGTTAAGATAAATGGCAAATTGAACATAAATGTGCACACAACGGATTATAACATAACTATTTAAAAATGGCAAAAGTTAGATTTTACAGTCCTAATTAGAATCAGGAGGGTAAGTTAATAAAATCAGGAATAAACAATATTGGTAAACATTAAACACAGTATAAATGATGATAACACTACAGTAGCTTAGAGTGCACTACAAGGGATTGGCTGGGATGCAATGTCTCTTAAGAGGTACCTCTTTAATTAAAAAAAACAAAAAAAACACAAGGCAGTAACTGCTATGGACAGTCTTTAGTCCTGACTCTTCAGCGTGCTAAGTGTTAAGGCATTCAATAAGACCTGCAGGAGTATTAGATCTATGGAGTAACTGGAAGGTAGTTTCTAATGATGTCACTAACATGGTAACAAGTAGCAGCCACAAGACTCTCTCAGCAGACCCAACAACACAGCAGCAGTGGTCTCTCCGATTGGGTATCCACTCACCTCGGGTTGCCCATAATGGCTCTAGTAGGTAGCTTCATCCCTCAGTACTCAGGTCAAGCTCTGTACCCTCTGGCTGCCCCTCACATGGCTGTGGGCTCCACTGACCAGGCTTTTTCTCTCTAAGGTGGAGTTTCCTTGACACAATCCTGGTAAACATTCATTGTAATAGCTGAAGACCGATATCTACCTGAAAACATATCATACTCCCAGAGCAAGACTGATTGGCCAAGTGTGGGAGATGGCCTTAAGGTTAAAGGCTTTATTAAATACTCCCCTTTTGGAACTATGAGCATTTATCAGAGATTATGAAGTTACATGGTATCCATAATTAGAAGTTTGCAGGCATTACTACCATTTTTTCATTTATACATGGATGGATCTCTACAGATGTATGAACAATTGCAATCTAGCTATCCCCATACATAAATCTATCAAACTTTTCAAAATTTAGGGGGATTTATCCTTTGCAAAATTCAGTTCTAATCGGAGCTCCTAAAGGTCAACTCTGAGCTTGCTGTTGGCAAACAATAAAAAATACATACTTACCTGAACCTCTTCTCCTTCCCACAGCTAGATCAGTCCCTGCAGCTTCTGAAACCCTATGCTCTAGCGGTCTAGGGTCCTGACATCATCAAGACCAAGCAGGGTCCATGGTCCTAAGAACATAAGGACGCTGAGAGAAAGTCCATTGCTCGATTGTGGGGGAGCACTGTCTGCAGGAGCAGCAGAGGACCAGGAAAAAGTAAAACTATTTCTCCTCTCCCTTGGACAAAATAAGCACAGCCCCACTGCAAGGGATAATTTTTTTAACATCCGGAGTTGGGCTTTAAATTAATTTACTGTGGCAATGGCCAAAACTAGTGAGATATTGGGCCAAATCATTCATATTATCAATTCTGTGTCAATGTCACTATATTTTCTCTAATCATTTTGTTTGTTTGTTTGTTTGTTTGATATCACCACCCTAGATTTCCATACCTTTGTAGCCATGTCAGGGACCCTATTTTTAGCATGGACAGTGGTTGTTCATAATGGGCATTGTTGCTCTAACCTTGGTAATTTTCTGCCTCTGAGGTTGCATTTCACTTAATTAATGATAGGGTCAAAACTGCTTACTAACGTGTGTAGCCTCAGTCTGCATGCAGCTGACCATGCTGCAGCACTGCTTAGCCTTGCAGCATGGACTGGGCTATCACTGTCACTGTACTGCGGCCCCACATCTTCTCTCCCTCTATCAAGCCAAGAGAGAGCTGAAGCAGCTATATGAAGAAAGGTGGAAGAGAGAGAGGGGCTGCAGGGCTCTGTACAGCCAGAGGAAAGCCCACCACTCGAGAAAACAAAGAAAGCAGTAATACTGTTGTTGTGCAGCTTGGGAAAAGACAGAGCCTGCTGGGGAGAAGCAAGGACTTGTGATAGATGTAGCCCCCATAGAGACTGTACAACAAGTCCCAGTAAGACCAAGGATTTGCAGAGAAGGAAAAGGTAGAGAGTTCTTGGGCTAGGGAGAGTAATTTTGAGGATGGTGTGGAGTACACAGTGCAGTAGACTGTCTACAATACAATTCACTGTGGTGTGTCAGAGTTGCAAAGAGGTTTAACTATTTGTTATTTTTTTAACATTCTTTATTTTTGATTTTTTCAAAAATAGTCTTTCTTATATAAATGAAAGTACAGCTTTGTAATTTCATTTATGATAGAATAGTGAAAGCTGTGGTAACAGTAGGAATGTATGAAAATTGGTTAATCATGCCAGAGAATGCGAAAGGTTTTTTACAAAAAATGTAGTACATATAGGGAAGGGATTGAACAGAGACTATGGTCCTCACATCTCTCCAGACAAAAGCCTAGGTAAAGAGAAAAGTCTGGAAGTTGACCCAAATATTTACCATCTCCCAAACCATACCTCTGAACAAAAACTCCAGAGATCTGTTGGACAAGATACACATGTATCACTCAGTGATTGTCCTTCCCACTCTAACTAATGAAACTTTCCTCAACATAACAGGCAGAAGCAATCAACTCACTGAGCTAAGGGAACACCTTCAGAGCCTAGAAAAAAGGTAAACAGATGTTCAAATTTCATACAGCTTAACAACAAATCACACTACATTTAAAACGATATTAAACCCCAAATTATTTACAGTATTATATTACAGCTTACCAATGCTTTGATGTTTACATTAATTTTCTTTTGTACTGTAATTTAATTTTCATCTGGTGATCCAGCCAGTAAGTCTGTTAAATATGCTCTCTTGCAAATGTATCAGTTAAGAGTGTTTAGACATAAACCATTTACCACTGATGGGATGCTTACAATGATCAACTATAAACCTCCCTAGCGGTCTGATTATGTCCATATTTCTGTGCTCAAAGTGGTACATTTTTTTTGCATGGAAATATGCTTTTTTTTATTGTAGGTTTGTAATTTTTAGGAATAACTCACTGAAATCTGTCCGAACAAGAGCCTAGTACAGATCCCGGGTATGTTACAATTTGAAACACAAAATCATAAATTATAATTGAATAAATAATCATAAAAAATAATAATATAATAATAATACATTTAATTCAGAAATATAATCAAACCAAAAACACTGAAATTTGAAATATAGCGCCAAGTTAAGTTCGCACATCACTGAGCAAAGTCGCAAAATCGTTCTCAGTGTCTGATGACAAATTTCTCCACAAATCATTATCACTCAATTCTGCAAGTAGTTCTGATTTACTATCACTGTTTTCTAGCTGGAACTGCTAAAACTAGCTAAAACCGCTTTTGACCTAAAGGGACGCTTTTTGGACGCCATGGACGTTTCTCAGTTTCCAGGCAGAGAGAACAGTAAAAATGCAGGCAGGGCACAGGACAAAGCACTAGGGACAAAATGTATGTGAAATGGTTTGATACAGTAATGTTTTACTATGTGATTTTAGTGTATTTAGTGAATGTCACTTTTTGTCATTTTCAAATTTCCCGCCGTTTCGTCCCCCGTACGTCCCGATGCTCGCAGGGAATGGAACCCAGAAGACAGATGCCGGCATCCGCCAGAGGACATTACAGGGCACACTGCAGGAGGGACATCACGGGAGCACAGGACAAGGTAAGAGAAGAACAGATCCTGGAGCAGCGCCGCATGGTAAGCCCGAGTGTAGCTCGGGGTTACCGCTTGTGGTACTGAAATTTTACCCCGAGCTACACTCGGGAATACCGCCAGGTAGGTTACAGCTTTCTATTAAAGAAAAAAAACAGCTGTAACTGCTTGTGTAACTGCATTGTGATCTGGAGTTTGGCCTCAATTTGTTTTGAATCTAAATCTGCTAGTACATCTAGCACCCCCCAGATTAAGAATGCTGCTCTCCACTGTGCCCCCTGCGCTCCTTAAGTCAGAGTGGAGGGACTCTAATACAGGAGGTATGTTATTAACCAAATCATCAGGTGAAAACAGAGGGAAAAAAGTCTAAAAAAGAAAACTAATGCAGCCACCACATCTAATGATTGGGAAGTTGCTGTATAATATATTTTTGGTTTTGGATTTAATACCAGTTAAATTAGGGACACAACAGCATAGGACAGGGTCTCTACAATTGGCAGCTGAATATATTTGCAAGTGTAAAGCAACAACACAATAACAAAGGGAAGCCCTAAAAGACTTAGATATCAATTACTATAGTTGCCCAGTGAAAGCAGATTATTGCTATATAATGCACAATTTATAACTATTTGTTTGCATATCTCATTTATAATGAATTTTTTTTAAAGTGAATGAGGAAAAAATAAACAAATTGATTTGCAAAATTTAGTAAAACTATCATTTTTAAATCCATATTCCAGATTAAGCAGCCCTCTACCTCAGTTCTCAACCCCTATTCTGCAGTAAATATTGTGACATGTGAGCACTGTTCTCTGCGACAGGACAGCCCGGGCTCACAGGAAGTGAGTTTAATGATGCTGGTTGTCCATCAACAATTAAGAGGCAACACAAGAGGAGGGCGGCACTGGAGAGTTGAGAGGGAAAATAGCACATTTTGTTTTCAACACAGAGAGGGAAAGAAATTTAAGGGGAAGAAATTCTCTCCGAAAAGGATTTGGGTTTAAAATATTCTTAATGTAGGTATCAAAAATGCTTTATTCTAAATATTGGGTTTTCATCACAAACAATTATGTCAATATGATCTCCTTCCATGCATTGGATTTATAAGTATTTGAGTTAACCTGAAATATATATATTTTTTAATACATATGTTTATGTGACCTAGAAACTAACTAACTAAAAAGATGCACGTGTTTTATTTTAAATACCTAGCATGTATTTCAGTCAATCCTTCATTGCAACACCCCAAGGTCTTATATTAAGTAAAAAACAATGAAACACTAAAACAGTGGAATGGGCAGATGTCCCTACTGAACAAGCATTGAGATTATTGTAAGCTCCAAGGAGCAGGGCCCTCAAATCCCTCTTGTATTGAACTGTATTGTTGCTGTATTGTCTCCCGTTATATTGTAAAGTGCTGAGCAAACTGTTGGCGCTATACAAATCCTGTATAATAATAATAATAATTAGCAGGGGCCAAAGACAGGTGGCCGAAGAAGACATAGAGAGTAAGAAAGGTGGACATGGAAATAAGTGGAAGCTGGTGAAGGTTCCAAGAAAGTGGGTGAGGAAGAAACAGGGTGAAGTGGAAAGGAAGGGGCAAAGCGATGGGCAAGAGGTGAACAGAAAGACCAGGTAATGGGTCAGGGGTTAGAGAGGCTTGCCTTGCAAAGCTGTTTCTTGTCCAAATCTTCAATATCAGTCATACTTACAGGGTTCAGTGAACAATAATTATGGAAGTATATTTCACCAAACAAATAAATGTGTTCCAGTAGAACTCTACTTTTTTATGGAAGAATTATTTTGTTCCATTGACTGCAGTTCCCTACATACAAACACCTGTTATAGTTCACAGTGTTGAGCTGGACCCTTTTTTTAACATAAGGTTTCAAAAAACAACAGGACATTATGTAGCTGAAGTATTCTTCAAAATCCTAGGAAGGAATAAAGCAGACAATGTGCCTGATTTATTAAACCTGGAGAATGCAGAATCTGGTGCAGCTCTGAATAGAAACCAATCAGTTTTTTTTTTCAAAGTCAAAGCTTAATTGAACAAGGTGAAGTTAGAAGCTGATTGGCTGCAATGCACAGCTGTGTGATGAATGTGGTGCCTGACCCCTGCCCTTCACACTAACTTGACAAAGGACCAGTCAATCTCACACCACACTGTCACTTATGTAACAATGCTACTCTCAGCTGCACCCTGCACAAAGATTTTACAGCTTGCGGGACCACAATCTAAGTGCCAACATACTAAGAGTGATCATCACTGGGTTAAGTTACCTAAGCAATTAACTCTTTAAAATCCAAACTGCCACCAGATAGCTTTGGGCCTATCAACCCTTCACAATAGTAGCAAGAACAAATGTGAACAATAGACCTCTGGTACAGGTTGCATTCTAGAAACTAGTAGATTATTATTCAGAATTACAATTTGTATCCAGGGATAGCAAATACAGAGTATATCGAATGGGTCTGTCACCCAGGAGGGAGGAGACAGTTTTCTCCCCTTTCATATGTGCTAGCTTAGTCATGTATGACCTTGATTTGTTCAGTATGATATTCTCCTTTCAAATATATACTTAATATTAATGTGTCTTGGACCTGTTGGTTTTTATGAATTGTGTGTGGATTTTGTTACTTTTTTAATTGGGTATAGGTCTCAGAGAGGTGATCTTTGCTTTGCTGCTTTCTGTGTACATATTTTATGTCCCTAGTGCCTTCATTACTTTACAGCCAAATGAGAAAATGCACATTGCATGTAGGTAGTGATGTGGTTGGGATTCAAACTAACAACCCTAGTATTGGCAGGAGGAAGTGGTAACCACTTAGCCACTGTGCTGCCCAATACCAGTTAACCAGGGATCCAAGTTGGTGTGATTATGTTGTGGAAGTAGGAAGTTTAGGACATACGTTTTAGGTAGATCTCTCAGCATAAACGTGCTAAAATATTTAATAAAATAAAATAAAAATTATTTCTGTCTGCATCAAGTTCAAGTTCTGGCATATTAATATTGAGGGCTTCAAATGTCTGAAAATGAATCTTGAAATTAGACAAAGTGTCAGAGACATGCCGTTCTGACATTAGGTTAAGCAACATGAACTTAGGAAGCAAAATAGGTTGGAGAAAAGGAATAACAAACCCTAACATATTCTACAATGTTATAAAACTTATCACCATTTTGTTATGCCAGTTGTATCAGATTTGCCTCTTTTCATGTGTAGGAGAGGTTCAATGGACAGGATAAAAATCAAGGGGGATGATGGGCATCCCTTATAGACCGTTCTGAATTTTAAAGGAGTCTGACAGAACCCCATTCACCTTCAGTCTGTCCGAAGGATTAGAATACAAAGCTAGTATCTGCGCTTGCATAGTTGTTCCCTTGCCTATGTGTCTAAGAACCTCTGCCATAAAATTTCAGTTGAGGCACATAAACATTTGGTAGGCTATTAAAAGTACAGTATATGCAGGTTACTCTAGATGGAGTTTTCCTTCTCACCATCACAGATTCTCATTAGTTTCACCTAAAGTACATTTAAATAATTTTTTTAATGTGTTTATATTAGATTTTTTTTTAACAAAATAGTATAGCATTCAAACACGAGTTAGCTTACAAAAATCAACTAGATGACAGTAGTTTAGATGAACAAACGTGTAAGGAAGTGTAGTATCAGTCCATGTGTAAGCTCGAAAGAGCAGGGCCCTCGATCCCCTCATGTTTTGCATTGTATTGGTATTGTTCTGTCACATGTTCTGTCCCCCTTTGTAATGTACAGCGCTGAGCGAACTATTGGCGCTTTATAAATACTGTATAATAATAATAATAATGTGTATGGTGGTCAGCTATGTGGCAGATAGACGCAGTGATTGACTTTATGTGGTCCCTTGATAGGTGTGTTGCGACACTTCTGGAGCTCTCGGTTTATGTTGCATATGTTGCATAGATTGCATTCAAATGCTAGGAAAATGCCTACTAGGCAAAAGTCTTAAGTTTAGGTCAGGATAATATATCAACGGGAGAACTGGAACCAGATTAGGATATAATAAAAAGTGTTGTCAACTATACAGCCAAGAACAATAAGGTTGGGTGAAAAAAAAGGGAGGGAGGGTCTGAGTGTGTGGGAGAGGGTGGAATGAGAGCCCAGGTATTGTCATAATACAGCATCCTAGGAAGAAGTTTTATCTAAATCACAAATCAGCTCATATTTTTTGAGAATATTGCAAATTCTATTTTTAATGATTACTTGACTGCTTTCATTTTTTGTTATCTTTGTGTTCAACTTTAAAGATGCCATACTAAGGCCTATAGCAATTAAATAAGTGCTAATAATGTTGTAAACTTGTCAAAGCTTATATTAATAGAATCACTTTTTGGTACAAAACACAGCTAATGCCTTGGTTTTTCTCACACATCTAGAAACATATCAAAATGACTTTCACCATACTGTAAGTGAAAGACAAATGTGGAGTGACTAGTTTCATACATGTACAGTATTTGTTATGCAGATTATTAAAACCGTCATAAAAACACTTTGTACAACCAAGTGTGCTTTCTGCAATGTGATTTAAGGTAAGTTATTACCAGTTAAACCCTTAGCCCTGGTGAACTAGTATTGCTTTAACGATTGAAGATTGAAATATACAGTACTTCTCCCACTAAATGTTTAAAAAAAATCTATAGTGCCTGGTGTAATACAAGATGGCCCTCTGCTTTATTAACCACTTTCCCATTGCCGTATAGCAGAAGTATTGCTACCGGGTGCAAGGACTGCACAAAATCATGTATATATAAAGTGATTTGCATTTCCTGGTAGGGGATGTGCGCTGCACTATCCGCGCCACTATAGGCAGCTAGGGATGTCAATCACTGGGTCCCGGTCAGCAATTCCCGACCGGGACTCGGCGATCGTTGGCTAAAGCTGACAGAGGAGAGACCTGTGTGTAAACAATACAGGTCTCTCTCCTGTCAGCATGGACATACTGCTTTGTATCTCTCTCAACAGTGTGCCTCCAAAGTTAAACACAGCACACAGTAAAACACACACAACACACAGTTAACCCTTTGATCACCCCAGATGTTAACCCCTTCCTGCCAGTGTCATTAGTACAGTGTCAGTGCTTTTTATTAGCACTGATCACTGTATTAGTGTCACTGGGAATGTCAGTGGCAGTTAGTCAGTCAGTCCCCCCCCCCATTGTCAGAATGCCCGCCACAGTCCCACTATAAGTAGCTGATCGCAGCCATTACTATTATAAATGAAAAAATCCAGTATATATACCGCCATTTGTAGATGCTATAACTTTCACGTAAATCAACTAATTTACACGTATTAGGATTTATTGTAAGCAAAGACATGTAGCAGAATACATTTTGGCTTAAATTTATGATGAAATTTGATTTTTTTAATTTTTTCATTTAATGTGTTTTATAGCAAAAAGTCAAAAATATATATATATTTTTTTAAATGTCAGTCTTTTTTTGTTTATAGCACAAAAAAAATAAAAATGCAAAGGTGATCAAATATCACCGAAAGAAAGCTCTATTTATGGGAAACAAATGACATAAATTTCATTTATGTACAGCAGTGTATGACCGTCCAATTGTCAGTTAAAGTAATGAAGCGCTGTATCACAAAAAAAGGTCTGGTCAGGAAGGGGGGTAAATCCTATGGAGGGCAAGTGGTTAAGAGTCTTGCATAGCTTTGAAGTTTGCAGGTTTAACTTTGGAGCTTCAAAATTAATCACTTCTTTAGAGATTCATTTTGGCAATTAGAGCTGTGATGCTTGGAAAATATCTAGTTCCAACTTGTCACTGGTTAACATAGTCATTCATTTACTCGATAGGAAACATTATGTAGCTTTGTTATATGATTTCCTCCTGAATGGGTGATCTTATTAACCAACTGTGAAATTAAAAACTATATCCTTCTAGGTAGACCATGCATGTGCTTAAAGCATAAGCGAGCAGTTTTAAAGTTTTGCAGAAAAAGGCCTATACGTCCAGGGCGATTGTAATTTTTTTGGTCCTTAACATCTTTTGGTGTGTTCAGAATGTATGAGTGTGCACAAAAAAAATGTAATTAAGAAAATGTGATCTACAGCTATCTTTGCCAGTGGTTTACTCTCAACCTTAGAAAATTAAGCCAAAGTATTAAACAAAGATAACTAGGAAAAAAGAAACATTTCCCAGGGTTCTCATTTTACCCAATGTAATGGAAGATTATTCTGAAATAATTGGTATCATGCATGCAACAAAATCTCTTGCAAATTTTTTTAAATTTACAAATTTAGTGCACAAATTTGCAAGTGTGATACACTGTAACACACAAGCAGAATGTAGCATCAGATAAGATGTCTCTCCTAGATTGTAAGCTCTAACGAGCCGGGCCCTCTGTTTCCTTTTGTACCACATTGTATTGTAAGTGTAATGTCTACCTTCATTTTGTAAAGTGTTGCGTAAACTGTTGGTGCAATATCAATCCTAAATAATAATAATAATGAGCCAGCCATGGAAATTGTTGTTATAATGACAGGTGGTTTGATTTAGAAAGTTTACAGTTGAAACAAATCAAATACTAAATGTGAGTCAATTATAAAGAAAATTTGAATTCCAAATATTTTCTTTTTCGCCTATTTCATCACCATTATCATTCTAAATGGCGGTGAAATATATATATATATATATATATATATATATATATACACACAGCAAATACCTCTATAACTTTTAAAACTAATGCACTTTAAGATAAAGAAGTAGAGGTTCAAATAAAACCATAGAGTTGTTATAAAACTGTATTTTACTTGTTATATAGTAACTGCCACTCAGTACATGTCTTTCAGCACTATGTTGCTTAGCAACTGCTCCCACTGCTCAGTCAATCATATGATTACTGAAGAATGCTATGAACTGCTTTGTTTATGTATTAATTGTGATTGGCTATAAGACATGATTATTGAAATGTATGATATTATCTCAATTTTATATATAGATTTTAAAATGGAGAAATGGAATACTGATTGCACAGTACTGTAAATGCTTTAGTGAATTATATTTATGGTTATTTATGAACACAAAACATTT